GAGCCCCGGACCCGTCCGTGACCCGCCCACACGCGTCGCGGCCGGCGCCGAAGCGCACAGGCACTCGCAAAACGGGCCCTTTCCCTCGGGCTCGAGAACATTAGCCGCGTGTAGCCGACCTGTTGCCTCACATGGGCCGAAGGGGGAACCCAGGAGAAGGAAATGGTGCTGCGGGGACGCGCTTGGACTGGCCCTGACTGGGAAGGTACGCGGCCCGAGGCTGGTGGGCCGGGGGGAGGCGGTTGCCGACATCTGGACGTGCAGACCTCTTGGGGTTCGGGGCAAATATGGAAGGGACGCGAAGAAACCATCCCGGAGAGCTGCGGAGCCCAGGGGAGGCAGGCAGGGCAGCGGGAGGCTCCTGTCGCGATTCCAAGATGGGGGTGAGGGGCGGCGGTGGCTTCTGCATCGCGCATCTCAGAGGTTCGGCCCGTCCCTGACGGAGACCCGGCCGTCCCATCCCTCCCACGATCCAGCCCCCGTCCCCCGATCCCCAGAGGCCCTTGTGCTTCACCTGAGCCAGAAGACATGGCGGGGCGTGGGCTGGGGCGGCCCCTGGGAAGGAAGGCCCTAGAGCAGGGAAGAGGCTGCGCCCCCCCCAACCCCCCCTCCCCCCCTCCCGTGTAGGCAGCCAGGAAGGATGGTTGTGTTCGTGGCCAAACCCCAGGTCTGCCCCGTCTCAGCTCTCAGCCCCCCGGGCTCTCTCAGCTCCCTGCGCCCCGCTTCTGGGCCAGAGGATGCTCTCTGCCTGCTCCTGCTGTCCCGCTTGCGCCTCCCTTCTCTCTCAGACCATCCTCTGGAGCTCTGCATTGGGAGACAGGGGAGACGCGGAAAGACACCTTCCTCCCTAGCCCTCCCCCCACAGGCTTGCTCTTATGCCGTCTCAGCCAGGCTCCCTCGAACCCTCCCGGTGCCACAGAATGCCAGCTTCCAGCACAGAGGGCTTCCAGCAGCCCCTGGGGACCCGAAGGATCTGGGAAAATGGGGATTTCCTTGAGCAGAGGACAGCTCTCAGGCTCTGGTTGGGGAGAGCAGCTGGAGAAGGGGCTCGTCGAGGAGGCAACACTTGGGGAACTGGGGACCTCTTTCTTTCGGTGGAGAGGCACCCCTCAAGCCTCCATTTCTCTCTCTCTTTCAGGAGCTGGTGTTTGTCGGCGGTGACTCACCCCTTCTCCAGCCTCGTCAGGAGTCAACTCTGTGACCAGCTCGCTGCCTGTGAGCAGCTGAGTGAGGGGACAGCCCGAGGAGGAGATGAAGTGCCAGGCAGGTAGAGACCAAGTGGTCCGCTTCTGGCATGGGGCAGGACAGGCCCGTGGCACCTGGGCACAGCTCTCCTAGCAACACCATGAGGGAGTGCTGTCCTCCCCACCTACGGATGGGAAACTGGGGCCGGGGTGGGGACAGGTTTGCCCTTGTCACACAGATAAGGAGTGGTGGAGCGACATCTACCCCCAAGGCCTGCACTCCCCTAGCCACCCCCCAATCTTCTCCATGACCTAGCACAGAGGGGTGGGGGAAGGGGGCACAAGACTCCCAGGTGACAAGGCTCCCCAGGTAGGGAATGAGAGGAATCAGCTTTCCTTGGAGTGCTATGGGGAGTCCCAGGGAAGACCGGAAGGACAGTCTGAGCTGAGATGGGCACCGAACGATGAGCCCCAGCCCCCCCTGGCGAGCTGAGGACCTCACCCACAGAGCCAGGTCTCCCCACCCCCACCCCGGGCTTGACCAAGGGCTCCTAAGTAATTGGGAATAAGCTTCTCAGTTTGGGTGGCCGGGGTGGCTCCGGGGACATGATGTAAGCAGGAGGGTGGAGCGATAATCCTGGGGTGGGATGGCACTGGGAACCATGTGTGACCCCATCTCTCTGCCCCCAGGCTCTGCCCCTCCATGCCCATGAGCACATGGGACAGTGTCCTCTAGATGGGCTTGGATTGGTCCCAGAGGCCCAGAGTGTGCCGCTGACCGGCAGAGCAGGATGGCCAG